GAGAGCATTTGGTTTGGCATGATTCGAAAGGTGACACTCTGGGTCATATGGAAGGAAAGATGCAGCAGAACTTTGGACAACTCCAGCAATCCATGCGAAAAGGTATGGGCGACGGCCAAATCATTAATGGAGACTGAAGTCTTCTCCCAATGGAAAGTCAGGATTCAAGCTCAGGAAAATTTGGAGAAGCAGCAAGATATTCAGGCAAAATTCACGAAAGTTTGGCTGGTCAATGGAAAGGTGGCGTTTATTCAAGGACTTCACCTCAGGTGGAAAGACTGGCACAACTCTTGTCCACTTCAGAGAGCACGGGGCGGTCAAATCCAACAGGTTGATCCTTACCATTTACCAGGGGAAGGGAGTTAAGCTGACAACCGTTCCTCCATGTTACTGATGTAATCATTCTGTCTGGAGCTCCCTCGTCCAGATGGAAGGAAGGGCGAGTGTGTTCCATAAAGGAAGTGACGAATCTCTTCAAAACTATAGCTGAGGGTTTAGGGTTTAGGGTTTAGACAATCAAGGCAAACAGGGATCAGATGGTAGGGACCTCACGTGGCACATGGGCGGGGATCAGAGTTTAGACAGAATTGGCAGCCTTTGTAGCGTCCAGGCCCTTTCTTGCCATTTATGTTTTATCTGACAGGTCATTATAGTGGACCTGAGAGGAAAAGGAGAAGCAGGGCAAGCTGACAGTCAATCCTCCACGATGCTGGAGTAATCAATGCTGGTCAGGGTTCCTTCAGCCAGATGGAAGGAAGCGTAAGTGTGTTCATGATGTAATATTTTATTCTGACTTGCAAGTGGAATAGGAACCGGACTGAAGCTCCCCAGAATGGAAATGGAGCCAGGGCCATAAGGACCTGTTTTATGGGGAAAAAAAAAAAAAAAAAAAAAGTGATCAAATAATCATCATATGATACAATTTAAAGAATCCAATCTGGCACCGACTGATGTGTCTGGAGCTTGATGGCATGGGATAAGCTATGGTACCCAAACTGCTTCCAGAATATGTCATTCAGGACCTACTCACACTGGGGGCCTACTCACATCGTCTTTGGCAACATTGCAAAATTTGCTATGGTTTTGCAGTCACACTTTGCCCACCCACCCGTCAAAACTTGCAATTGCTGTGGCAATTGTCAGCGGCCTGCAGGGCAGGCGGGGTTGAGCAATTTGCCAGCACCTGTAGACGTGCTGGCAAATTTTTCTTTTTCTGAATCTGTAAGCTAACAGAAGAGAATTGCACGCATCCCTCTGCTACTAGTCTGTGTGACCGCAAAAGTGGGCAATTTTGCAAATGGCAGGGCGTCGCGGCATTGTCTTTTCCAATTTGCTACCCCTGTGTGACTGCGCAACACAGCAAAATGGCAACCTGGGAGTACGAAACGTGGCAAATTTTGCATCGAGTGTGATGCTCTATTTCAAACACTATTTCCATTCATCACATCTAAGCTTCGAAGCTTGCCAATGTCAGAGTGCTCCTCGATCATCAGAGGGATGTGCTATAGCCAGGCGCATAATTTGCATGAGGCCATTAGACCACAAATGACCTCCAGGCGACCAGGCAAGAATGAGATCATCATTCATGATGCAGAAGTTGACAGGTTTTACATCTGATGCATGATGGGATGCCAGGATCGCACGAATGGGCATGAATTTGCCATGAAACAGTAAATTGCATCCAAGCTCTGGCCAAAAGAATAAAATGAGACCTTGCACAGATACCCTACCTCTGGAAACCTTCGCAAGGGATCTTGCAAAATTCGCAGTGTTGCAATGGCTGTGAATGCCTGCAAAAGGTGATTAACAAGTCCAAGGAACACAGGATCCCAGTTTCTCAGACTTTTACCAGATAAGAGAGCAGGTGTTCCAAGTCCTACCTTGTGCTTCAGATAATTTTGTAATGTGTTGTCTCATACACAGGTTCCCGATTGCCACTGCAGAGAGGTCACATTTAAGCTGTCCTACTACACACTAAGGGCTAGACTCAGGACAAGCTGGTTACAGAAAGTGGTTACTTTATTTAATAATTTTTATTAATTTATTAATTTCATTGAACAGTATCTGCATATCTCGATACCGAGCAGTAATCGCTGTTCCAAAACCAATGAAAAAAACACAGAGTCAGAGACGCAATACATAGCAAAACTATGCAAAATACAAACACGTTCTTGTTTAAGCCCGCCCCCCCCCCTTCCCTCCCCCCCCAAAACAGCCCACAAATCCAGAAGTATTCTCCGGTAACCTTTTCCAAATGAGTTTTGCTGTCTGAAGGAACAGGACAAGTAATACATTGGGATCTACTGTCTGAAGAAATGGATGGCTCGTTCCCCCCCCCTCTTCTCACGGGTTGGCATGCTGTATATCATTTTTTTTGGTGCAGCAGTATCCGCAGCAGCGGCATGAAAAACCGCAACTGGGCATCCGTTAAAATTAGAATGACACAGAGAAGATTAGCATGGCCTCTCCACAAGGATGGTGAGAAGAAAAAAACAAAAGAAAACAAAAGCGAAAATGAGTTCGGGTCTCTCATCAGGAATTTGGACTCAAAAGCTCCATGCACGTATCATTGAGGAATGTTTAACGAACTTTAACCTGTTAATCAACAGCTACATGTGCATTTGAGCTCATGGTCTGTTTATCAACAGCTACATTTGTTTGTGTGATTCAGGAGCTGAACTCGTGACCTGTCTACAAACTGCTAAACATGTGTGCCATTCAGGGATTTCAAATCAGAAACTCTTCATCAACACCTTATAAGGGGGCATGTAGTAAAATGAGAATGGTACAGAGAAGATTAGCATGGCCCCTGCACAACGATGGCAGAAAAAGAAGGGGAAACCACAGAATCACAGTTTGGATATGTCATCAAGAATTGAACTCAACAGCTGCATGTGTGTACCATTGAGGAGCTCATTACCTGTTTAGCAACAGGCATACGTGCATTACATTCAGGAGTTGAAGTTGTTGAACTCATGGCCTGTTTATCGACAGCTACATGTGTGTACTTTTTTAGGAGTTAAACGCATGACCTGTCTACCAAGTGCTACACGTGCATGCCATTAGGACTTGAACTCATGACCGGTTCATCAACGTATGTGCACCAGTCGATACTCGAATCCACTGTGTCTATCCCCGAACAACCTACCCACCGTGCCTATCCCAAAAGGACTTACCACCATGAGAAACCGGTTCTTCACTTCAAGGGATTATTATTATTGAGACAAAATGCGAGGCACCTGGCACAGAACATTTTTGCAAGCACTTCTCACCCGAGCTGTCGACAGATGCGTTTTTGAGACCACGCACACACCAAAGGTCGCCACAGCCGTTCCTAAAGGTGATAGCCAAAACAAGAAGATGATCCAGGCTGTCATGTACCTGACATTCGCAACAGCAACAAACACAAAAAAGGCAAAAACTTCAGTCCTTCCAACACCATTTTCATTTAAGGGAACTCTTAATCGGCAAGGGGGGGGCTCTAGCCCTCAATCACATCAGAGAACTGGCACCACACAAAGCCCCACCTAACATGACAGGCCTCTTCTGGATCGTCAACAAACTACGGCCACTTCCAAAAGGCAAAAGTAGCCAGGACGCTCCGTCAGCACAGGCTGATGAACATGATAATATAGTAATATACTCACAAAATCCTTTTGGGGAGCAGATCTTACGTATCTGCATGAACACCTTCCCAGAAAACAGGTCAGAACCCGAAAAAAGGGATGAAGTACTCAGACAACTCGTCTTTGGTAACCCCTGGATCAAGAACGAGAGGGAGGAAAGCTCCTCTCTTACCAAATCCGATGCCAAATGGGGACACTCGTTAGAAAAAGGAATATGGCAAATCCAACATCTATGGAACGAATCAACCAACTCGTGGAAATCAGAAAGGGATCTAAGACCAACACTAAAAGGGTACCACCTCCTACAAGCTTTTTTTTTTTTTTTTAATAACAAAAAAACAGGGCCTTATGGTCCTGGCTCCATATCCATTCTGGGGAGCATCAGTCCCGTTCCTTCTTTTTTTTTTTTTTTTTTAACAAAACAGGGCCTTATGGTCCTGGCTCCAAAGGGATCTAAGACCAACACTAAAAGGGTACCACAACCTACAAGCTTTTTTTTTTTTTTTTTTAATAATAAMAAAACAGGGCCTTATGGTCCTGGCTCCATATCCATTCTGGGGAGCGTCAGTCTGGTTCCTTTTTTTTTTTTTTCTTTTTTTTTTAACAAAACCGGGCCTTATGGTCCTGGCTCCATATCCATTCTGGGGAGCGTCAGTCCGGTTCCTTTCCCCTGGCAAGTTGTCGAACATAATAATTCACACACCCACGCTTCCTTCCGTCTGGCCGAAGGACCCCTGAACAGCATTCATTGCTCCAACCACATGGAGGATCGACTGTCAGCTTGTCATCCCTCTAGGAATCCTCTCAGCTATTGCTACCCCTCGCTGCCATGTTAAATCTGTGAACACAAGATTCCTCAAGGACCGACTGCTGAAGTCACCCATTCCTTTCACCATGTTATTGACCCCTGAATTCTTTTGCCACCTGTTCCATGTGAAACAAGGGCTGCCGCTGGTTGTGCGTGTATCTTGGATGCACTTCTAGGCCCAGATTGGGGTTGGTACCTCATGTACTTGGGTGTTCTGCTGAATTACAGACTTGAGAGAATTGTGCCACTCTTTCCATCTTAAAACATGCCCGTTTAGCCATGCCACTTTGTCACCTGCCAACCAGACCCGTCTGAATTTGGCCAGCGTCACCTGTTCTGTCTCTGGACTGTTCTACACCCACAATTTGACCTTCCTCCAATGACAGAGGATTTCCACTTCAAACATCACTTGGTTGCTGCCCATATTTTCTCCCGTGGGCTCTTCATGTCATCCAGTGTTCTGCTGCATCTCTCTTTCCATATGGCCCAGAGTGTGACCTTGTGTACCATTCTGAACCCGATTTTCTCTGATTTGCCAAAGTAAGGGTAAATTAGTCCAGAGGAGCAGTTGAAGGGCATTCTGAACCCGATTTTCTCTGATTTGCCAAAGTAAGGGTAAATTAGTCCAGAGGAGCAGTTGAAGGGGGTGTTCTGGGAGGGGAGACGAGAACAGACTGTCCCATAGGGCTGCTGCTCTTGTCCAATAATCTGTGGTTTCTTTACAGTTGATTAGGCAGTGTATCAAATCTTCCTGTTCTCGATCTGAGCAGACATCAGAGCTTTTTGGATCGTTCTTCCTTCTTCTAACACGTAGCCACTGGTTAACTGGTAGAGCAACGTATGCTATGAGCCATTGCATGCTTCCGATTTTTATTGGTCTTATCGTTTTATATTTCTTACATGGAATTTTTGCCATCTGGTCTGCCTCAGAACCACTTAACTTGCTCCATCTTCCTTTAATTGTTGGGTCTGGATCCTTTGTTTTTAACAGCTTCTTGTAACCTAGCTTAACTGTATACTTAGATAATGGGATTGGAGGTTTGGCAGTTCTGTTTCGGTTGGAGGGCCAAGCCCATTCTGAGGGATCGAACTCGAGATCTTGAATTGCTGTCCGCATGTGAAATATCTGTTTTGGCCAGAGTCCTACGGAGCGTAAAAGCATTCAGCACTACTTTTTCAGGATTGATATTCTGAATATATGGTTCGTCTGGCTTGGTTTCCAGGATCGGGAAGGAGGTGAAGACTTCTCATGGACGTACTCCTGCTATTCGATGGGAAACACGGAAGGCCCTTTCAGGGGAGGTGTCTTGGATTAGAATTCCCCACTCACCCGCTTTCCACGTGAATTCCTCCTTGAGTAGCTCAACCCAACTCCCAGGAATGCTCTGTATAATCTTTTGCAGATTTTCATCCCTGTGGTGGCAGCCTTTCAGTCGAGCTTTGAGATCATTTTCATCCAACCAGTTCTTCCTTTCCTCATTCCAGATGTCCCCTACTCGCCAGACACTGTATTTGATCCATGATAGCCATCTGTTGCCTTTGTGGGAAAGTGTCCACGGGTGGTCGCCCTCATCTCTGATCCAAGGGTTTCCAAAGCTTTGTTTAGTTTATTGAAGGCCCTTTCAGGGGAGGTGTATTGGATTAGGATTCCCCACTCACCCGCTTTCCACGTGAATTCCTCCATGAGTAGCTCAACCCAACTCCCAGGAATGCTCTGTATAATCTTTTGCAGATTTTTTTATTTTATTTTTTTAGTCCTTAGGGTCCTGGCTCCATGTCCATTCTGCGGAGCGTCAGTCCGGTTCCTATTCCCCCGGCAAGTCAAGATTGAATGCATCATATTCCACACGCACGCTTCCTTCCGTCTGGCCGAAGGAACCCTGACCAGCATTGATAACTCCTGTATGGGAGGATTGACTGTCAGCTTGCCCTACCTTAGCTTTCCTCTCGGAAACCCTGTTGGTTCTGTCGAATAGGAATTGAAGCACAAGAAAACGGGAGAGATGTCTAACCGTCTAGGCTAGAACCTCAATTTGTCCCTCTCGGGGCTCCAATCCTTGTCGTAGTTGGAGAGGCCCATTTCTTCCAGTGTAATTTATTGTCTGAGACTGTCGCGATCTTCCCTGTAGCAACCATTCTCTCGTGAAGATTCGTCTCCTGAGTGCGAGTCTTTCGGGTTTGCCTCTCGTTGCTGTCGATATACTCCTCCACTTGCATCGGATCTCTGTTTGCACCATTCTCAGCAGTAGGATCCACATTTCCTCCTTGGCCACTTCTGAACCCTTGATTGTCTTGGTACATCTCCTTTTCCATATGACCCACAAGGCTAATTTCCTGATCATGTGGAACCACACCTCTTTACCACCTATGAGGCTGTCGGGGATGTTAGCTAGAAGTAGGATGTTCAGAGGGGTGAGGTTGGGGGGGGGGGGATGAGAAGAGGTTGGAGTCCCCGTTGGACCATAGATTTTGAACTTTGTTCCATATCCAGGTGGCCTGGCTGCAGTAGAGGAGGCAGTGGGGAATGTCTTCAGGGACCTTGTCTCTGCACATTATGCAAAGATCCGCGTTGTCGGGGTCCGAGTGTTTTCTTCTTTTGTGAAACCACTGGTTGACTGGGAGTGCTGCATGGGCTAAAAGCCACTAAGCTACGGATTCTAGCTGGTCTGATGAGGAGGTATCTTGTCCAAGGGATGGATATTGAGGCTGTTGGCTCTAGGAACAGTGACCCTCTCCATTTGTCTTCAAGTTTGGGGTTGGGGGTCCGTGGTCAGCAGGCCTAGGTTGTACCCGAATTTTACGTTGTATTCTAGTATAGTTCTAGTTTTTCCGGTTTTGGTTTGTTTCCATATCCATTCCTTAGGGTCGAATTCGAGCTCTGCTATGCTGAGGTTAGGCTGGAAGATTATCCATGGTTTGGTTCTTGTTACCCTCACTTTTCGCAGCCGGAAGGACTCTATCGTCTCTAGCTGAGGTTCTCTGTTGAGGATGGGTAGTTCCTGTAGGTTGTGATTGGTGATGGGATAGAACTCATAGGAGTCGAATTTGGAAAGGTAGCTGGTGGCTGAGGTGCGGGATACGAACCGGTATGCTCTGTTCAGTGAAGTTTGGGATATGAGTATTCCCCAGTCCCCTGCTTTCCAGGAGAGGTCTTCTTTCAAGAGGCTGAGCCAATGGGGTGGGATGCTCTTCTGGATTATACTTAGGTTGTCTGTGAGAGCGTGACAACCTTTTAGGGTGTTCCAGAGTTTTTGTTCCGTTCGCCATTCCCCCCGTTATTCTGCCCACAGGTGCTTTTCCTGCCAGAACCCTTTTTCGATCCATGACAACCATCTTCGGTCCTTCATTCTTAGTGACCAGGGGCTACCCTCGGGGTCCTTGATCCGATCGTTGCAGAACAGTGGTTGTCTCAAGGCCTCTTCTTTGTTATCCATTGTTCCCTGTTTGCTTGGTCTCATGCGTCACCAGGCTTTCAGAGTCGGGGTCTAGTATGGGTTGGGTGTTGGGACTGCCTGGTTGTCTGAGTTTCGTGTGGTGCTTCTGCGGGTTCTGCCCGATCTTATGGTCCACTCCTTAGCCATAATCCAGAAGTAGCCGCTCATGTTTGGTGGGGAGCTTATCAGTGCAAGGTTTCTTATGCTATCTAGAGCCATCTTGGTCCATGGAAGATATTGTCTGGTCAGGATCTTGATGATCCATTTCATCTGTAGCGCGGTTGATTCCTGCTTGGGGTCGATTAGCCCTTGGCCTCCCTCTTGCGGTTTCCTAATGATGTGGCTCCACGCTACCCTGTTGATGCATGAGGTTCGTTTGGGGTCCCCTGTCCATAGATAGCACCTTACTCTAGCCTTTATGGTTTGGAAGTCGACGTCCGGGGGAGACCAGATGGATGTGATGTACCATAGTGTGGAAAAGATAGTTGTGTTTATAATTAGAGCCCTCCCAAT